GGGAGAGTATAAGAGGGGTAACAGGTGGGTGTGTCAGGGTGATCGCAGTTGGCGCGGAACATGGAATGCCCTGAGGGAGTGTTGCTACTGCTTTCTTTTACTGCTATTTTCTTTTCCTGTGAGCACACGGTGCCAGGTATATCGCAGTTTCATTTTGCATTCTTATTCTGTTCAATAAAAGACAGAGAAGGTGTTCTCCTCAATGTCAGCCTAGGTGCCAGCACACAGCTGGATAGTTAGATGTCACAGTTTAGGATAGGGTCAGGCCAGCTCCGCTCATCCGAACCAGTAGAGCGCCACAATATATTAGTGTAGTAACTGCAGGATGTGATAATTACAGACTAAATAATGAATACAGATCGTCTAAATCTAAATTTTACTCATACCTGTTCACAGCCCCAGTTTGTGCCTTTCATGAACTAACAATCAGTTCCAAGCAACGATGGCAAGGGGGCGCCATAGCCAACTGTCTGCTCTTATTTAGAAGGAAACACTGTAATACCGGTGTAAACCTGTCTCACTTTGCTTCTTTTTGTTTATTTTGGCTCGGCTTTTATATGACCACACGGTCATTGGCGTGCACCTATTTGAATGTGATGCATGTAAGCCACTTGCCACTGTTGCTTTCGTTTCCACGGACCTGTTCGCCGACTGTTTAGCTAGCTAGCTAGTTAGTTAGCCCACTGCAATGTCAGCGTGGCGGAGGCTGCATGTGAAGGTGCGGAGGGCGCATGGATTATTTACCTCGCGACGGGTGACAGAGCAATACACATGGATGTATGGTCCGTCCACGTTAGGTCAAAACCTGAGCACAGGCAAACCTCTCCGGAATGACTTCTTTAAAGGTGGGGGATCTCAAAGGGTCTGATGAGTGTTGTTTACTCTTCCCTCATGAGATAATAGGAGCGACATTTACATCAAGAAATCCCTATAGCATTTAATGATTTGGCTGTCCACAAATATAATCAACTTGGATGTCACAGTTGAAAGCATGCAGTGCAGTGTTCCAAGAAACTTTCATTTTTGTCACCATGTAAACTTTAAAGAGTTCCTGCTACTCCTTACTCTAACGTTACGCTAACTTTAGGACGCTTACATCAAATTCATAGTAATATACTTTCTGATATGTGAATTACTGCGTGCCGAATTGGAGAGTGGTAGCGAAAGATTCAGAGAAGATCTTGAGTTGTAAAGTGCGAGTCAACATCTGCAACATAATGATGCAGCTGAATAAAGTTTCTACTTTTCTGTATCAGAGCTGGAAGCCCAACTGGCAGCCATGAGGAAGAAGGCGGCTGATGCCCTGCCAGGGAGCAGCTGGAGTCCCTTTGATATAAACCCGAACCTTCCTCCTGAAAGGGCTGACATTGTGATTATTGGTGGCGGTGTGATGGGCTGGTCCATTGCCTACTGGCTGAAGCAGAAGGAGAGGGTGCGAGAAGGGGTGAAAGTTATTGTGGTGGAGAGGGACCTAACGGTGAGGAGCCCGTTTCTGTATATTCTAGCCTTGGAAGACACAGACTTTTTATATTCATAGACAAATTTATTCAGACCACATTTACCTAATCAAAGCCAACTGTTATGTCTTACCCCTCATCAGGGAGTAACGGAAATAATGGGTTAAAAGCCACTTGATATACACCTTACAAGCAGCATCATTCAGTAATCTGTATATCCCTGTTTATACTGCTTATTTTGCACTGCTTGTTGCTTGTAAATACTGCTTATTTTGTTATACTACACAGCCTTATGCTGGTTTACTGTTTACTTGCTCCTTGCATGGGGATATGTACATGCACATTGAGAGCCAATGTACCAGAGTCAAATTCCTCGTCTGTCCGACACACCTGGCCAATAAAGCAGATTCTTATTCTGAAAAGCTTCCCTCTGCATGTGACTCTCTAGTACTCCCAGGCCTCGACAGTGCTGTCTGCTGGGGGGATCCGACAGCAGTTCTCCCTGCCTGAGAACATCCACCTCTCCCTGGCCTCCGCAGATTTCATGAGGAACATCAATGTAGGTTATACTGAATAGAAATGTCCCGAAAAACATGGTTTGGAAACTGAGTAAATTTAACCTTTAAAGTACATGCTGTACTAGAAAACATAGACAAGCAGCACAAAGGTGAGAGAAATGTTTTCTCACAAGTGTTGTCAAACTACATTTTCAGTTGTACAACAGAAAAGACTTTAATGATAAAGATAACTGGAAGGTTTGGCAAATGTTCGTCTAGTTTAACTGCCCCAACTCTGTTAAAGAGCAGCACACAGCTGCTTCCCGGAGCCTTTCTATGAATTTAGTCCAGTGGTAACAAAATCTACCTGCCAACATATCTAAAGCTCACTAATTCCACAGTATATCTTTTTTGTTTAATTTGTACAAAACCACAATTCATGTTTTTACTGTGGGTTATAAAGACCATTTCTTGGCTGGGGACAGTAACTTCCTGGCCAAGCCATAGTTAGGCTGTTAGCTATATCCTTAAATGTAAAGACAGCTAAACTTATAGTCAAAGTTTGATCTCTTCCCTTTGTGAGTCATCCCTATAGCATCACCCTGAGAACAAACGTGTTGTTTACAGTGTAGGACCAACACTGCTATGGCTTTCAGGAGTGCATACTGCATTCAGGTGCTTGAAGGCAGCATGATACAACCATGTTACATGTTTTTTTTTTTTATTTCTCCACTTTCTTATTATAGAAATGATCATTAATCATCATCATTAATTAGTGCAAAGTCACACCTCTTTGTCCTGGCAGGAACACCTGGGCGTGTTGAATGAAGACCCAGTGGACCTGCAGTTCAACCAATCTGGATATCTCTTCCTGGCCAGTGAGGAGGTTGCTCACATCATGGAGGAGAACTACAGCACCCAGAGGTGTTTGTCCTGTGTAACAGTGTGATAGCAGAGCAATAGAAAGTGCAAACAGAGAGCCTGTTTGTTCACAAATGGCAACCCTGATGCTTCAGATACTGTATCTAATTATGTGATTCCAGGCAAGTCGGAGCCAAAGTGACACTTCTCTCTCCTACACAACTAAAGGAGAAATTTCCATGGATAAACACAGATGGTGTGGCGCTTGCTTCATATGGTGAGTGCAAATAATAGTGAGTTATTTTAGTGTATACTTTACAGGGTATAAGATACAAGGTGCATGCAATTTGGTTTAATAAATGACAAATGGTCAGAGAGGCAGAAGTGACATTTTTACCACAGTCACAGAGGCTCCCTTCTAATCACAGCTAGTTTATTGTTGGTTGGTTGTTCCAGTGTGTTTACTCGTTTACTGTACACTCAGATTTCTGTGATTTAGTTTTTATTTTTGGTTTTTGTTTTGTTTTTTTTTGTTCCTGCAAAGACTTGTTCATATTTGGGCTGTTTGATCTTTGTTTGTCTTGCTCTCCAGGGTTGGAGAATGAGGGCTGGTTTGACCCCTGGAGTCTGCTGAACGCCTTCAGGAGGAAAGCCATGTCAATGGGAGTCATTCAGTGCTGTGGGGAAGTTACAGGTTTGTTATGACTTGACACAGAAAGATCCTGATGTACATTTCTGTGGATGAAGTGTAAGCAGTGTAATTTACTTCACTGTTGAGCACTACATTCCTCCCACTTGCCAGTATATTAACCAGCATGTTACATCAACACAAGAACACCAGTGCTGCAGCCTAAAAAGACCTGCCTTCATTTAGTATTTTTTAACTACTGTAACTCTGCATGTGGTCCTTCTGTGTTCATGTCATATTGGGTTTAGTGTAAAAACAGAGCCGTGCGATCTGACCCATTGAGGAAAATCCTGAGTAGTCATGGAAGGAACAGATGTCCACCAAGATTAAAAAATAATTTCTCAGTGAAATGTTATTCTGCAAAAACATATCTAAAGGTGTATTTTATTTGTGTGAAATCCTTAAAATCTCCTCCAAGTAGCTAATACCATTAAATTAACAACACTCTATTATACTTGTTTTATATATAATCAATATTTACATATTGATCTGTTTTGAACATTGTTGGCTGCTGCAGTACAAACAGTACATCTTTCTCCTCCACAGATTTTAAATATACAGTAAGTATGATGACAAGTCCTGGTGGTGACCCTGTGGTTTACAAGAGAATAAATTCTGTCAAAGTAAGTGGGACTGTGAGTGTTTGTCTGAATATTTGACATGTTCAGAGATCTTCCGATGAAGTCAGACAGTATAATCCAGTGTCACTGAACGCCTTTTTATGGTTACTTTAGAAATGTCAGGACAGTTTTCCTCTTTATGCAGTCATAGATTAATATATAATCAGGGTTATATCAACAGACTTGCTTTTTTATAAGTCAGCCATGTTGTTTTTGTCTTAAGCAGAATCTGTCCATTTGTCTGACTCAGTTGTAATCCACACCACTAGTGCTTAAAAATGCAGTACTAGAACATACTGCCGATTGATCGATCAATCCTTTCAGCTCTGATAAAGTCAATACAGATCCTGACTGAGCTTTTCTTTCATATTTTTCCCAGTGTTTGAAAATATGGCACATTTGTTCAGCCTTGTCAAAACAAAAAAATCAAAAGCCATTCAAAAGATCTTAAGGAGCCCAGAATATGACTTTCATAATGCTGCTGATATGTATCTTAAATTCAAAGTGATGTTGTTTGGATTTTGACATGAAAGCGCTGCATCTGTCACCTTGAAAAATATAGCATCTCTCTGAAGTCTGCGCAAACTCTAGGCAGTACTGGTTGGGTGAATATGGTTAATTAGCCAGCAGAGTTTAGGATCTACTTCGCTGACACACCACCACAGGAGCAGTGGCCTGTAGTGTTGTACATGATGGGATAACGGCTTGTGTCGAGCAGGTGCAGATGCCAAAAGGCCTGGAGTACCAGATGGTGGAATGTGCTATTGTGGTGAATGCAGCAGGAGCCTTTTCTGGTAAACTGGCAGAGATGCTGGGAATCAGCTCCAACCCTAAAGACACCATCGCTGGAACTCCAGTGCCTGTTGAGCCTCGGAAAAGGTTGGTCACTGACTTGAAGGGGATGTTTTGCCTTTAAAAAAAAAAAAACAACACAAGTGCTGTCAAAATATCACATTTTCATTGAAAGGAGCTGGCAAGGCCTCATACAGTGCAGTTCATTAGTATTCTGACACTTTGTTTGGACTTTGCTCACCAGTAAATTGGAAAACTAACTTCATAATGCTGACTGTCAGCTGTAATTTCAAGGTGTTTCCTTCACACCTCCCTATCATCTGCGAGCCCATGGGTTGATCCAGATGTTGCAGAAGCTTTTTCACTCAGAAAAAAGAATAAAACCCAAGCGACAGCACTTAAACTTTTACCATTTTCACACCAAAAATTCCACTACAAAGGTTAACTGAATGTTAGCATGAAATACCTTCCACTCGTTTCAATGGCAGGAAAGTGCTGTTTAGGCAGGATTTTAAGAGTGCTGCATGTAAGACCTTGATGATATAACTTGCCTGTGTAACTGATTCCTCTTGAACTCTCTTTCAGGTACATTTATGTAGTCCACTGTCCTGATGGTCCAGGTCTAGACACTCCCTTCCTGATTGATTACTCTGGAATGTACTTCAGAAGAGAAGGGTTAGGAGGAAACTACATCACTGGCGCATCGCCAAAGGAGGTTTGTTATCTCTATGCTGTTTACTTGATTATTTGTACTTATTAGAATGAACGGTTTGATAGATGGTCAAACTGGCTTTTCCACATGTCTGTCCTCAGGCAGATGAGCCAGACACCAGTAATTTGGAGGTGGACCACCAGTTTTTTGAGGACAGTGTTTGGCCCAGATTGGCATATCGTGTTCCTGCTTTTGAGAAACTTAAGGTGAGGGTCAGGATACTTTGTTCTATAAGTGGGGGGTGTATGAGATTTCCATTATTTTTTTTTGTCTGTTAGTCATCTTACAGGTATGGAAGTCCACTCCACTTAATTATTCCCATCACTGCAGTGTTATTCTTAATGGATTTTTAAAAGCCAATACTGATCATTTTTGTTAAAGCCTAAGATTTGCAGACACAACCTACAGTATTCCATATGAAGCCCGTTCAAATAAAATGCATTGGCTTCTCTTAATTTCAAACTTTTATCCCAAAGTTCTTCTTGTGTAAAAACGGAGCTGTTCCGAAAACATCCCTCTTGAGTTCCACACAGCGGCGATGCAATTAGAAGACAATAGGAAAGCTTCTTTTTTTCCCAACTTTTCCCACACAATATTCCAAAGTGGTTTGTGGCAGCTTTGCACATTCATCAGTAAATTAGCTGCTTTTTTGGTTCTATGGACTTGCAACAGTTCATTAACAAGTGAAACCAGACACAAACAAACTGTATAAATTGACTGATGGGTATTATGATTGATTGGATGTTATTTAGATGTACATAACTGCCAGCAGTTCTGCATTTGTAGCCATTCTGCCAGCAGTTTGACACTTCTTTTGTTCTTTTCATCACATGGGAGAAATTTATCCTAATATCTCTCAACTTGAACCTAAAACTAGTAAGCGGACTTTTTCCAAACCTGACTGCTTGTAATTATGGTATAAACAATGTGACGTGAATGTGACATTAGCCCTTGACCTCTTGTTTCTCCCCCAAGGTGACCAGTGCATGGGCAGGTTTCTATGACTACAACACCTTTGACCAGAACGGTATCATTGGTGATCACCCTGTGATCAACAACATGTACTTTGCTACTGGCTTCAGCGGCCACGGCCTGCAGCAGTCCCCTGCAGCGGGCCGTGCTGTGGCAGAACTGATCCTGGATGGAAACTTTAAAACACTGGACATGAGGGGCCTTGGTTTCAGACGGATTATGGCCCAGGAGCCCATCCTGGAGAGAAACATTTTGTAGAGGATGTTGAACCTGCCGCCAATGCCAAATTATTACAGTTTACTGGTCTAATTTTTGTATTTTCTTGCTGTCATTACTGTGAGTAATAATAACATAGGGCTTGCCAAATTAATTAATGTGATCTGGGAAAGTTGTATGATTGCTACAATGACAACCAATGGGCAAAAAACATTAGCAGACAGATGATCGAGACTGTCCTTCCAAGAAATCTGACAGCATCAGTTGTTTGAGCAAATACCCAAACACAACATATGTTCACTTTCAAGTGTCAGAGACCTAACAGCCATTGGCATTATGATTCTTAACAATCTGATGTTGTTACAGGACCACAAGTCCACAGAGGGAAGATGTTGAGGTTGTCTGAATGAGTCAACAAATCGGTAACCACAACAAACCACTCAGTTAGACAGGCTTTAAACAAAGCCCCAGTTTAACCAAACCTATTTCATAGAGAAAGCAATAGTAATAGAAACTATCACCCAAGCATCATAGTTTCCACATCAACTTCCTGCTTCATCTTTGACCTACTGTCCTCTATAGTGAATAGATAGGTTTTGTGTTCAGCAAGTGAGTATTGCTGACATTTTGGATTCTTTCAGTTTTGAGGGAATATCAAAGCAAAGAATTGTAGACAAATGGTTTTCAAAGTAGTGAAATTTGTAAAAAAATACAGTATTACAGGTATTTTTAGGGTTTAAGGTGTTGTATAGAAGTTGTGCACCAGATGGAGCCATTTCTGTGGTGAGCTTTAATCATGTTACCAGCACAAGCCGCTTGACATGCTTAATGTAAACCAGAGAAAACAGATCAAGCCCTATTTTTAACAGTGTAATTTAAATGGGCTATTCGAGAAAGTAGGTTAAGTAAAAAAAAAAAAAAACATTTACAGATTATATGTTATGACTGTTATGGTTAAAATTATTTTAGTAGCATGTAAGAACAGCAGCAACACTGCATCTTCTGCCATAGTTTTCTTGTGCTAACTGCATCTTGTGCCCATTGCCAAGGGGCATCTTATTAATTCAAAGCATCTTTTATATCACAATAGATCATGGAAATATGCTCAACTGATATGAAAATGGTCTTTCTGCAGCCAGCAGAATATGGCAAAGACACTGTTTCCTCCGCTCTTCATTTTAATGCAAATGTGAGGCAGCCTTGCAGGTTCGAAGAGGGGGAGGGGGACCAGGGGAAATGCAATTGAGGGATTTCTTTGTGAGGGCCAATGCAAATCCCAAATGTTCTCAGGGCTGAAAACAAAAACAGCATGGGTGCTGCATAGGGACCGCTGGCCCCTTCAATAGATGCACTTTCTACCACACAAAAGCGCTGAAGGCTTTCTCTGCTTCCACAATATTCCCATGCTTACGCTGGTCATAAATTTACACTGCCAAGAACTGCAGCCATGATTCCGGTGCTGATGTTGTGAATTCACAGTTTGCATTATTAGGTTTTTTTAGTGGAGTGATGAAGGCAGTCACCCTGCCACTCAGAGATAAGTGACGCCCATTGGGAGCTCTCTGGCTGTCTCCTCTGTATGAAGCCAGTGTACATGGTGGCATGTGGCTGGGATTAGGAAATTTCACTGTGGATTAAAATCTTTCCAGTGCCTCTATGGCCACTTGCTTAAAGAAAGGAGTCTGAAGTTCTAGCAGAGATCCAGTGAGCACTCTGGGCCCATGGTCTCAGTTAGCAGGTATGTTGAACCACAACTTTTCCATCTTTCTTTATTCAGAAATGAGATTTACTTTGTGTGTTTTGGAGTTTGGAGACCTCTTTCAAGTGCTATTTCATTTAGATACCAGCATAGCCGAGGTTACATTTTGTTCCAGACTGTTGTTTTTACTTACAGCTGCCCAGAGGCAAGTTGCTTAAATATTTTAATAATTTAGAGATTACCTAGAATTGTAAAGATGTTAATGGCCTCTAAGTTTTCCATTGTGGTCTCTAGCAGAATATACAAAGCAGTTTAGCCATTTATATATGAGAGAAATTCAAAGAAGTAAGGGAATCCAACAGTAACAGTACTTTTGTAAGCCTTATTTCAAGGCTTAATAACAGAAAAACATCAATAGCACAAGTGGTTTTTAGCAGTTTTACCAGTTTGTCCAACTACACTATGTTAAAATATTAATTGTATAATATGCATGTAACGAGGACTAGGATTAGTTGATTTAACAAGTCAATTTCACTTTTGTGTGATCAGTAACTGCTTAATCTCTGGTAGACAATTGTCAACTAATTCATAAAATTGGGTTTTAATAAGATTATTCTGAAGTTGTGATAATGTTTACTCCAAAAATAAATGTCTTTTAAGTTTCTTGAATCTCAATCCTGAGTTTAATCAGTGGCTGTTTAAAACTCACAGTGGATCGTGTGGTACATAATGCACAGCATGGACAAGGCCTTAAAATAAATAATTCATACAGTTCTGTGTCTATATTGGACCTGTGCTATTATAGGTCTTTACTGAACAAACACATCTATTATAATGATGTATTCATCATTGTCATTGATTTTCTGCCTGTTTATCTGGTATTCGGACTGACATGTCCTACCATATTTGGGAGATGGATGTTATTGAAGTCATGTCTTCCACTAATGATTAATCATTTAAACATCCAAATATAACTAGCCGTTACAATTTTTCTGCATAAAAGAAACAGAAATATTCTGGTGCTAAATTGCAGAATATGCAGTCAAATTGCACCTACATGAATCTGTCATCTGTCAAAGTTTGTTCTGTTCTCCCTTCAAACAGTGTTTTCTGTATAGCATTGGTCCTTACAGCTGGTTGCGACTGGGGCTAAGGTTAAAAAATATGGCAGCTGATAGTCAATATTTTTCTTATTCTCAACAAATTGCTTCATTCTCCAGCTGCCATACTCTGTGTGCACTTAATCCAAAGCTCATGTTATTCTACTGAAGACAGCTGGACACTTCAGTTTTAAGTAAACATTAATCAAACAGAAGTGGATAGTGTATTTGTTAGGAACCATTTTCACTGTGGATTAATCCACATATATTTTAATAGAGAATATTTACAGCAACAAGTTGGTGCATGATGTTCCTCTGGCAGATATCACAGCTTGCAAACGCTTTTCATAGCCAGCTAAAAGTCTTTCAATTCTTGTACTTGGGATCTTCTCCCATTCTTCCTTGCAAAAGGCTTCTAGTTCTGTAATATTCTTTGGTCGTCTTGCATGCACAGCTCTTTTAAGATCTACCCACAAATTTTCAATGATGTTTAAATCAGGGGACTGTGATGGCCATTCCAAAACCTTCAGCCTGCGTCTCTTGAGGTATTCCATAGTGGATTTCGAGGTATGTTTAGGATCATTGTCCTGTTGTAGAAGCCATCCTCTTTTCAGCTTCAGCTTTTTTACAGATGGTGTGATGTTTGCTTCCAGAATTTGCTGGTATTTAGTGGAATCCATTCTTCCCTCCACCCGTGCAATGTTTCCTGTGCCACTGGCTGCAACACAACCCCAGAGCATGATAGATCCACCCCCATGCTTAATAGTTGGCAAGGTGTTCTTTTCATGAAATGCTGCTCCTTTTTTTCTCCAAACATGCCTTTGCTGATTGTGTCCAAAGAGTTCTATTTTAACTTCATCAGTCCACAGCACTTGTTTCCAAAACGCATCGGGCTTCTGTAGATGTCCTGTTGCATACTTCAGACGTTGGATTTTATGATGGGGACGCAGATAAGGTTTTCTTCTGCTGACTCTTCCATGAAGGCCTTGTCTGTGCAAGCATCGCTGCACAGTGGAACGGTGCACCACCACTCCTGAGTCTGCTAAATCTTCCTGCAGGTTTTTTGCAGTCAAATGGGGGTTTTGATTTGTCTTTCTGACCAGCATACGAGCAGTTCTGTCCGAGAGTTTTCTTGGTCTTCCAGATCTCATCTTGACCTCCACAGTTCCCCTGATCTGCCATCTCTTAATTACATTTCTTACTGTGGAAACTGCAAGCTGACAACGCTTTGCTATCTTCTTGTAGCCTTCTCCTGCATTGTGGGCATCAATAACTTTCATTTTCAGGGTCTTACACAGCTGCTTAGAGGAACCCATGGTTGCTGGGTGTCCACAAGTGTGTGCACAAGGTTTGAAGAGTCAAAGTATTTGTACAGCTTTGAAATTGGCATTTACCAATGACAGCTGTTGCTGTGCATCAGATCTAACGAGCTGATTAAGGTCTGATACCTTGTGAGAGACTTTGAGACTCTGGAACTCTTAGGGTGCCCAAACTTTTGCACCATGCCATAATAATGTTTTTATTTTTTATTTTTGTTCAATTTATGGCATAAGAAGTAACTATGCATCACTGTTTGCTGAAAATATTGTGCATTTTTTCCATTTCCAAGAGAAACTGTGTTAACATCTGTTCAAATAAAAAATCACCAAAATCTGTTATTTATCAAGGGGTGCCTAAACTTTTGCATAAGACTGTAAACTCCAGTGCACACGGTAAAGGTATATCACCCAGTACAACAGTATGGTTCATTGATGTGTTTTTAGTACTTTTTGGAGATAACATAGCACAATGACAGTGGAATAATTTATACAAATAACTAAAATATACACAAACAAATTTCTCTGTCTTAACTGTGTGGCCATTACAGTGAAATTAATTAAATAATCAAATATATGGAAATGTTGAACCTTTTTTACATGGCCTGTTAAAGGTTCAACTAGCTCTACTCTACTGCTGTTGCTCTTCATTGTTGGTATTTCCCCAGTAAAGAGTTCCAGCTCTAAATTACAGACGTATTTTTACACTAATCTTGTTTTTGTTCCTTCAGCTACAGGATGTTCCAGCTGTTCCGGGGTCACATCAAGCCAGCTGGGCACCAAAGCCACAAAAACCGCCTGGTCACCAAAGATGGCCGCTGCAACATTGAGTTTGGTAACATTGAATACAATAACCACTTTGCATACCTGGTGGATTTCTGGACCACTTTCGTGGAGATCCGCTGGCGCTTTGTTCTTCTTCTGTTTGTGGCTTCATTCACAGGAAGCTGGTTCATTTTCTCCCTGCTGTGGTACTGGTTTGCAAAGAGCAACGGTGATCTGCCTGGACAGAATCGTACAGAAGGACATGTCCAGTGTATAGACAATGTTAACAGCCTCACAACGGCCTTTCTCTACTCCTTAGAGACCCAGACCACCATTGGGTATGGTGGCAGGGCACTGACTGGGCACTGTGCTGGCACAGTGGCTTTAATAATCATCCAGTCTCTAAGCGGTGTCTTCATCAACTGTTTCATGTGTGGCGTCATCTTGGCCAAAATCTCCTTACCCAAAAAAAGGGCAAAGACTGTCACCTTCAGCAACACAGCTGTCATCTGCTTGAGGAATGGAAGACTGTGTCTCTTGATCAGAGTTGCCAACCTTCGAAAAACCTTACTAATTGGTAGCCAGATCTACGGCAAGCTGCTTAAGACAACAACCACACCAGATGGAGAAACCATCATTCTAGACCAGGTGGACATTGACTTTCTGGTTGACGCTGGCAAGGATAACTTGTTTTTTGTTTGCCCTCTGACCCTCTACCATGTAATTAACACCTCAAGTCCATTCTATGAACTGTCAGCTGACACTCTCCCCCAGCAGGACTTTGAATTAGTGGTCTTTTTGGATGGGACAGCCGAGTCTACCAGCTCCTCCTGTCAGGTCCGAACTTCCTATATCCCACAGGAGATTTTGTGGGGATATACTTTTGTGCCCATCATCTCACGCTCTAAGACGGGAAAGTACCATGTGGATTTTTCAAACTTCTCTAAAAGCATCCGGGTCACCACGCCCCACTGCATCCACTGCTTTGAAACTGACACAGACCAGAGAAACCACAATAGCCACAACCAGCAGAAGATGGGGATTGACAACCTGGGGTTTCAAGTTATTGACATTCACAGTTCTATGGACATCACCAAAATGTGAGCTGATAGGAAAGCATCTTGTTCTCTGATTCAAAGTAAGGCTGCATTCAGACTGAGTTTCAAAGGTGTGAAAAAACCCAGCCCTCTGCATTCGCTGCAGCCAACACCAGCACCGCAGGGGGCTCCAGGAAACAACGCAGCCCTGTATGGCAAAGAGGTTGGATCAGGTTCAACTTTTGCCACAGTCATCATCAAGCAGAGGGGCTGCAATGACAGTCACATGCAGGGGATAATAATAATAATCACCTTTATTTGGCCAAGTATGTTACACACAAGGAATTTGTTTCCAGTACAGAACCGAGGAAGCCATCTGCCGCGCCAACTCAACCAGTGGCGGAACTTGGGGGTTCAGTGTCTTGCCCAAGTACACTTCAACACACGGACTGCAGGAACCGAGATTCAAAGCCCCGATTAAAACCTACAGGTATAACATTTGTCATTGGGGTGGGACTTGAACCCATGACTCCATCTGGCGAACAGAAACCCATCTTGTAGGAAGGAATAAACCTTTAAGCCTGGCACCTTAGACCAGTCAGCCAGCCTGACAACTGATGTGTTTAACAGTCAGAATGTGGATGCCCATGAGACTCTTGTTTACCATGTTACCATGATCATTCACTGCTATTCACTCTCAGATTTGGGCCACAGTTACAAACATATTGTAATGACATGCCATGCGTTTTTGTTAATTAGGCTACTGGTTGTTAGAACGGTGCTTTTTTTTTTATCTATCAATGCCAACAGTGGTGACAGAAATTGATACTAACGGAGAGTAGGTTACATTAGCACTAAGGCTAACCAAAATACAACGGAAACTTGTGGGCTGGAAATGGGAATGAAGCCACTCACCTCTACTCATCACAACATGGCCGTAATGTATACGTGAGCCCCCGCAGCCCCTCAACCCCCCACCAGCACAGCCCTTGCGTTTTAATACACTCCGTCTGAATGTCCATAAATAATGGTGTGGGACATAAAGTGTGAAAAGCAGCACACCTGTCACTTCCTTTTAGTTTCACTGTTAGTCAGACTTTCTGTGTACACTGGTGAAGAAATGTTTGGTCACATTGCTTCCTTCAGTGAACATCTGAATCTGTCCGCTATTTTACCTCAAACTGCAAAAAGTTGTTAAATTGTCCGGATAGAAATTCAGATGAGAGTTAAGCTGCTCATTTCATAAATGCACCGCTGGGGCTAGTGATTATGTCTAAATAATGTGGGAAGCTGGAGGAAGAGGGATTGAAATTCTGATGTTTAAATGAAAGGGGTAATATAGTGGATGGCACAGTAGGTACATCTTGAGAAAATTATGTCCTGAGCCAGTTGTAATGAAAAACTCTGTGCTATAAATGTTAAGGAACAAATAAAAAGTAGAGCAGGTCTTTTGAGTTTTCTCTATTCTTATTAAAACACTAAGTATATGCTGTCTTTTGTCATGTTGACACATCGTATATGCCTTGATAATTGGGAAACTGTGAATGTAGATGCTAAATGAAATGATTTTAACTGTGACCAGTCTATGTTTTGTTTGTCATATGCTAAATACTGTAACTTTGTCTCAGGGAAATTAACATCCTTAGCTGGAATAAAACTTTTTCCCCACTGTGAATTGGCTAATATATTCTTTGCAGGTTAATATCTTTTGGTGTTTTCCACACAATGTTATTACAATTTCAATTATAGTAAATGTACTTGAATAGTTTCATGTTCTGTGACTTAATACTTTATTTCCCAGCATTGTATTGTATAGTGCCTGGTTACTTTACAGAGTAAAATTTGATAGAGTTAATATGAGATAAACATTAATGATCCCACATAGGAAAACTGTCACAGCAGAAGTACAGGAACAGATGCATACTATAGATATGTAGCTTAAAAAAAAAAAAAACTAGAATACTGTATACACTCAGTGGTCACTTTATTAGGTACACCTGTATGGACCTAATGCAAATCAATACGACTGTTCTGCCACAAATTCTACCTTTTCAAAATATGTAATGTTAAGGTGTTGGCTTAAATAATAATTATTTTACATTCCAAATATGATCAATATATAAAATATGATTTTTTAAGGATTTAACTACCCAACTCTATATATAGTATAGGCACAACAATTAGTCACTCCACACAAATGTAATCAACAACTATTGTGAAAATCAACTGTGAACATATGTGAATATTTTGTTTTTCAGTCTTTTATGGTTGTAAACTGAATACCTTACCAACCCTAAAATATACAGTAATGGTTAAAATGATCTCAACCTTGACCAGGTCTACTATGCAGCTTCTTACTGTACATGTTTACATGTTAGTACTGATACTGATATTGATGAATAATAAAACACTAAGGGCAACCAATCTTACCAGTCACTTTTACTTTAAATACATTTAGCTAATAACACTTATGTTCCCATACTTGATTATCAGTTTGAATTCAGAACTGTAGAATCCACTGTTGCATTTCTATTTGATTAAACTTCTTCCACCACAGCTGGTTATTATTTTCAGTATTAAAGGGAATAAAAGAAAACCCAGTAAGAGGAGGTGAGGCCTTGTCTTTTTTGATGTAAGCTTTTGTTACTCACCATAACTGCTGTCTCTCTCTCCAATATTACATTAAGGCAGTAAACAAATGCCATTAACATTCTTAAAAACAGCTGGCCTTTCCATTAGAGAGCATCAGAGCACCACTTTAATTTAGTGTAACTAAAATATAATAATAAACAATGAATTCTACAATAATTAGTTTTATTCTGAACTGTCCCATTTCTGCCAACAGACTCTCAAAAGCTCGGGGATGTTTGAAAAGGTTCAGCCTTACAAACGTTTCATGTTCCCATCTTTCCCCAATGTCTTGTAGTTTACTGATGGCAGAAGACAGCAGCAATAAAACATCTGATAGCAGTCATCTACTGCTTCATGTCGGAGTGATGGACCTTATGATGACAGCAGGTGTAGGCAGTCGATTTGTTCTCTTAAGACTAACATTTTTGTCAGTGAGGCAGAGACTAGAATGGCTTTCATCCTGTTTGGATTTCTAGAGGCGAGTTAACTGGGCTTCATCTGCATAACAATGAAAAGAACTGTTCAGAGGGATTGGCACAGTGAGTTTGAAGCATCTGAAAAGCAAAAAAAAAGTCAGCTGGAGATGAGAGGACTGAATGGAAGGTACAGAATTGTATGTTAATCTGTTATCAGCGAACCAGCTCTTGGCAGTCACACTTGATTCACCATGTGACGGAGATAGGTCAGACAGTATATAGTCCAGACTGTAAGAATTTAGACAGTTGCACTTTTTTGTTCTCAGCCTCTTTGCTTCAGCGCACTCAATTTGAAATAAAAAATAGATACATCAAAGTCTCAGCTTTAATTTGAGTAAGTTTAAATCAATATAGAAAGGACTTTATGAGAGATATAGCCCCTTTAACACAGAGTTCCCAAATTGCAAGGGTTCAGTGGTAACTGGACACTGGGCTGACAAATGTTTGGTGGGTAGCTGTGTGCCATTTCAGCATTAGTTCATGCAGAGCCAAGATATGCCTCAGAGTTGGGAGCTGCCATTTAGACTGAGGTGGAGTTATCTGTTATCTAAAACAAAGCAGATGCGCATAGGAAAATGAAACAAAAATCAGTAATATGCAATAATATGTTCTTAAAATTCTTGTAACATTACAGCTTACTGCTTAAAATATTATACTTGGCTCTTATAATGTCAGATTTAGTTTATGTGACAGTGGCCCTAACCATAGGTCTGAGAAATTCAGAGGAGTTAAATTTGTATATGCCATGGGCCTTTACTTCAATATAAAAATGTAATCTTTAAAGTTTTGTGCCTTTTGTAACTCTGTATTGTTTGTGTGTATTTTATGATAGTAGTAGTAGAAGAAATTCCACAGAGAAGAGGAATTAAAATCATCATATCTAAAAATGCAGACTTGACATAAGCTTATGACAAACCCAAGTTTAGTCAAAGTGACAAACGTACTTTATTGACGACTCCATATGGGAAGCAATTGGAAAGCATTTCACATGTAAACATGTTGTATATTAAGGTCACTTGAATGTTGGAGTGCTGACTGGACACACATTGTAGCACGAGGAGATGTTATTCCACTGAAAGTCTTCTTCAGTAATATGCCAGCCTGGCCGTAGATTGCATTTGCAAAGCTGAGCATGCATAAGAACTTTCCCAGCAGCCTCCATTTAACCAACCAAACTAACTAATTAGGGTTGGAGAAAATGCACCAACTGTCGAACTGTTCTTACAGTGTGATATTTAGGAAACTTCCTCATTTTATCCTTCAGATTAACCAGGTTTAATACAACAGAGGCCTCATAGATACAATATGAAGCAGTGTTTGTGCCCTAAAGTATGGATATCACACATCCAAGATGACTTCATAAAGTACTGAATAGGAAATCTTCTTAAATTCACACAATAACCTTTTTGCTGAACTCTTGAAAAAGAGATGTCAATCTTAATGAGACTTTCCCTGCTTAAATACAGCATAAATAAATACACATTTGTACCATACTCCCTAGAAATCCATCCAATAGATTTTTTTGTAATGTTTCATTCAAAAACCCAGTCATCAAACTCTTGGTGACGATAAAAAAAAAACTCACAGGATCACCAAAGTCAGCAGGGGACAATTAATGTCAGTTCATTTTATCTTAATCCTGTTGAAATATTCACATTTTCAGGCCAAATGACATTGCCATCAGTAGAGCCATCTCATTTACACAGCTAAAGCTTTAAAGTCTAAGTTAACCAAGGTGACAACCCTCAAAAAAGCAAGTGAAGCAGCCAAGTCTGTTTTTAGTGGCAGTTCTCATGGGTGACTGTGATAAATCCAGATCTGATAACTGGGATGAAGAGATTTTGACATTTTAATGTCACTAGCTTGAGAAAGCTTCAATGACAAAATGAAGAAAATATTGCACAACCTCTTTACACCATTGCTCTTGAAATTTTGTTTTCACTGAACAGATTGAACACACATATTGCCCACTGTAGCTCGGTACATCAGATGCTCAGACAAGCAGTCAGCTGCCAGCAAAAATATTTGTCAGATTTACAATTTAGCAGCCACACAGAGACAGAGTATAGCCTAATGTACATTATATAAATATTTAATGTGATTTTTGCTCAGCTGCCACATGTGCCACATAAAGGGTCCAAAGCTGCATGTAATTAGCTTCAAAAATACAGACAGTATGGCAGGACTTACAGAGTTCAAGCCAGTTGGCCTGTATGAAGGATGAGGTTGCTATGCTGAGCATCACCTCACAGACAGTTACCTCCAGTCACACACCTTCTGTCACTAAGGTAAGTACTCTTGTTCTTTTCTCCATCAAGCACTTACTACATCTGTAAATCTTAACTAATGCAATGTTGAGTCTATAACTTTACATTTTTATTTTGCCAACATTAATTAATGGACACATTTGATTTAATTTCTTCCTCTCCCTGATCCACGTTGGGAATCACTACTACTTAGCAGTAATTTAATTTATTTTGCCAATTTCATTTTTTGATGTTTTTGCCACTTCCTCCGTTCAGCTCCAAGCTTAGACTTCTCCTGTGTATTTGTAACCTACTTATGATTGTATGAAGCACTTCATAGATTCTCATTTTGACTAGTGCTACAGCATATAAATAAGAACATTTACCATTTTGTTGATATGTACAGCCTACCCGTCAGGTATAGCTGTGAGCTGAAACGCTTCCATCTTTAATGAGGCGCTGTGACTATGAAGAGTCTGGAAAATATAAAAAGTCTGTGTCTTTAGACCATTTAGTACAATTACTCTGGCTCAGAAAATAGCCATTACAGCACACTGCAGCCATGTATTGTGTAGCACACAGGCTACTGTGGCAATTTTATGACAAATTTAAGTGAAATGTTTTCAAGCGCTCATGTTTTTATGCACATTTAAATACACATACTCAAGATTCGTGTCAATTTGACCTTAAACATGAATTAATTACAGGCATGACAAGCATGTGAAACATCAGCTGTGCCTTATTGTGTAGGCTGACACTCTCTTTCACATGCAAATCAGTTAGTATGAGCAATTCAACCATTTTTTCCCCCCTGTAAACCCATAAACACTTATGAGGCCCCTTCAGTTTAGTTAACCATAATTTTAACTTGAAGATCATTCAATAGAGAATCAGCCAGTCATTTCACTTTACATTTATTTTATTATTTTAGATGTCTTTTGCTGATTTCTGTTTGGTTTTGAGGTATATCTGACTTCTCCTGCATATTTCTAACCTATGTAACTTTCTGTGAAGCACTTCATAATACATTTTAATAACAGTACAGCATTTAAGTTTGCATATGAGGCCAATGTACTTTGGTGAACCATCATTTGAATTTAAAAAGACAGTTAAAAAAGAAACGACAATGAATTCAAAAGTGAGAGCTTTGGATAGCCATGTGTGTCCACTCACACATGCTATACTGTATCTACTGAACACATGAGCTGATCTGTAGAGTGACAGAAATTAGTTCACTTGGATATTATTAGCTTGTTTTCACTCACTACAGCACTGATCGGCTTTGACATTGCTCATAATCATCTGCTACGAAGCCCCCTTCATCTGAGATACTGTGAGGCAAATCATCTGAACTGAAGGTGTTTGGCTCAGTGAGTGGCTGCACTTTGTTGGAATTTAAATTCTAAAGGTAACATTCACTTCTCTTTTTTTTGAAAGGAGGCTGCTGGGATAGGTTCCTGAGAAAAAAGAGACACAATATAACAGACTGGACAAACAAAACCACATTTGCAAAAACAAGCCATTTACATTTTGAGGATATACCAAACAAAATCATCTGGTCTTACATGAACCATCTTATCTCAGTACAATACCAGTGAAGCTTGATAAAGGTGGACATTACTGTTACCAAAACAAGACATTTTATTTTACATTTAAAGAATTTTCTAGCAAATCTCATCATCATTTTCTAAAGATTTAGAAAAAAAAAATTGGAAATGATGTAATAAGTAAGTGAAAATAGTTAATGAACAATAGTCATGCTTAGACATAATGTGATTTAGTTTATAGGTCTGGTCTGGAAAGTTACAGCACAACACAATCTTGAGAATAATTGTAGAAATGATATGCTCCGCTCTAGAGTGTGTGCTGTCATATTACAGGGTTCTTCTGGCCATAAATTTGAAACTATATTTTACTGGTATTCATAGTGTTTTGATCTTATGAGAAAATACAGTAATCTCATTTCAACGAGAAAATATGCTATGTTGTAATAATGTGAAAGTATCTTGTAAAAATAAGAAAGGTATCTCGTTATAACAAGAAATGTTTCTCTTTATCTTTCTGTTGGAAATACTATTAAAACATGTTTTCAACTGCAACAGGAAATAACAGTAATTGCTCAGCCAGTGAAATGTTATCACATGCAGTGTTTCATTTGTTGATCATCATATCAATTACAAATACAAAACTAAATATTTCCAGTGCAACTGAAAACTACAGGTAAACATGTAATTCAACCAATATGTGGCATAAATGTCATTTAAATTAATATTTACCAGTTGACTGGGTCAAAAACATGCATCGGTTTAGTGATAAAGAACTGAAATTAAGAGTTTTTGTTTTTCTAGGAAACTGATGGATACTGATGTCTGTTTATAAACTATTTTTCACTCATCTATTATATAATTTTTTCCTTTTTTTCTTTAAAAAAAAGTAACATAATGAGCAGAAACTTGGAAAATTGGAACTAACACTTCCCTTCTTTCCCTTATAATTACTACCACACCGCTTTTCTTAGTAATATCCTTGTAATTTACAGCTAAATACTAGCTTAGTGTAGGAAAATATGAGCATGCTTTCCACAAAATTACCTGGAAAATAGATGACCCGTAAACTAAAGAGCTAGAGGGCTGGGGGAGGGTAGACAGCATGGGATCCATGGTTATGAGGTCTCTGAGTCCATTTGTGCTACAAGTTAAGCAGCAGCACTGCATTTTTTCATCTAAAAACCCTGAGTGGACTCAGACCTACATGTCTGGCTGGAGCCAGTGCCCGGCTACATCAAATGTTTATGTCCTATGTCTGTAAATATGAATCTACAGCCAGCCAGTTAGCTTAGTTTTGCAGAAAGTCTGGAAACAAGTGAAAACAGCCTAGCTCTGTCCAAAGGTGTTAAAATCTCCTTGCTCATTAATTAACATGTCGTCTTGTTTAAAGTGTAAGACAAAAAACACACTGTGGTAACCTCCTGGTGTCTTCTTGCAGGCATTAAGCAGAGTTTAGCAATTAATAATTTAGTCATAGAAATAATAAAAGAAAACAGACTAATAATCAATTAATCATAAAATGTTAAGAAAATACGGAAACCTGCCAGATTAACCGAAAAAACTAACAATGGGTTGAAGCCATAAAGCTGCAACTAACTGTGCTGTAAATCCACGTCTTTTTTTTTTACACTTTGGTTTTTGTATGGATCAAACAAACAAGACGCACTGTAACTTGTATAGTTAACTTTAAAGGTGCTGACAGAGGGATTTTGTTACCTTTGGACAGAGCCTTGTGAGCCATATTTCCCATTTGCAATCTTTAATCTATACTCAAGAGAACACTTTACTGAGTAATCAATACTAGCTATCAAAATGTACTGCACTAGTTTGCCTTAGTTTCCAAATTATGCATGAAGCATCCCCACATTTTGGGGGGAATGTCTTTAGGAGACCTTTTGTAGCAAACTTTTCCAGAGCCTCAGAGGCTCTCTAGCCACTGATTAGAAGTTGGTGCTTCAGTTAATACACTATGCTGCTTGTAGGAATACAAACACCAGCCATATTATACCTAGGTTTAGATCATCAGAAAAGAAACCTGGGATACAAAGACATGGGCAGAGCTGAAGAAATTATATCAAATATGTATCATTGTTACCAAGACATTTTGGCACTCAGGGCTCTTCCTTGTAGTGATGTAGCTGCATTTACAGATCTCAGCAAATACTTGTCTGGGTGTTATCAGATTGAGATGATGGCCAAAACTATGAAAATGTGACCAAAGTGGCATAAAAGGCATTTTCATTTCATTTTGTCAAGCTGTTGTAAGCATGCACTTATGAGTTATTAATTAGCAGAATGTATATTCAACAGAACAATTATAACTACAGGTCAAAGCTTTTTCCTTTAAACACTGAAGGTCTGATAAAGAGAAAAGCGAGACTGAAGTAAGAAGGAAACCTCCTAAACCTCCTTATATTCAGCTGTGGGCACGCAGAGCACTGGTATTCTCACAAAGATTAAACTACCCTCACTCTACATCTCGGTTTGAGGGAGAAATAAAAACACTGGCTGCCTTGCAAAGAGAAGTAGCTCTTGATTTAACATTGTAAACAAGAAGCTTTGAAGTTAAAAAATAGGATTTACATGAATAAATAAATCACTCAAACATATCGCACAAGTAGGCTTTGGGTAATCATCTGTGATGCTAACACACGATACTGCAAATAATACTGACAAGATATAGTCAGAGAATTATTATTAATACACAAACTGCTCCTCTCTCTTTGTTTAAATTTTGCAGTGACCTAATGTCAACTTTTATTATCTTGGCAATGGTTCCAACTATGAATCTTTGCCTCATCTGATAGGTGAAAACAGTGAGTTTATAATAAACACCCCTTTATATCATCATTCGGTTTAATGACTCCTGCCATGTCACAAAGCCTCTCTGTCCTCTGTTGTATGGATGAACAATGAAATCCTTTTTTAATTTATTTGGCTTCAAATCCATGTGCATCATATCAGTCCATGTAAAATAAAAATTAAAAAAAACTATAAAAATGTTCATGCTCTTCCATAGGAACAGGGTTTGATGACATTTTAACAAAGTCAAATCCAGAATCTGAATCCCTTTGAATCCCTTATCCAATTTCATATAACTAAAGGGTAAAATAACTCCATCCATTTCATTTAATCACCTTTTGTTGGCTGGGAAGGCAGACATACTACTGTTTTAGTGACTGCCTAATTAATGTTAATAACCTGAAAATGAAATATGCAGCAGAATATACAAAATATTAATTACAGGCATCTGGCACACTGAATCAACAGCAGTAGCATTCTGTATCCAAATACTGAAGCTGCTGCAGGCGGAAGCTGGACACCTGTTTATACTACAGTTGTACCTCACTGGTGAACCAACATATAACACTACTGTATGCGAGAAATGTATCGGTCCAGGAGGTCCTGCAGAACCTGTTATTTATTGAAATATGAGCAAGAAATGCCAATAAAATGAAGGTATTAATCTACAAAATTTAAGATTTTCAAAAACTTGGTTCCCATTTGACCAGGCAGTTGACAACACATTGTTGTCAGATGAACAAAAAGGCACACAATAAAAGGCTGAACTTCCACTTTTGCAGTGTTGAGTGTTAAGTTTGTTTTTTTTTTAATGATGCTTTTCTTCTGATTTAAATACATCTATTAATACATCATGTTGGATGATTTAAACAATTTGCTAGCAGGTAATATTGGTTTAGCTTATTTCAGACTATGTGGATGGCACATGAGGTGCATGTTAATGTTATTTTTTTCTCCAAAATCTGTATCATAGTAACCAATTTCAGGCAAGGGTTTTAGACAATGCCTAACATCTGCGTTGAACAGGCTAAAAGAGCTTTTATGTCTGCTGCTCTCTCTGCTGGGAACCTTGTGAATTTACATGTAGAACTTTTTTTAAGACAGCTTGTGTTGTTGACATTGGTCGTTTTTGGGATGAAAATGTTAATAATATTAAAAATGTTATTCATGATTTTAAAACTATATTTAATTCTTCATTTAACATTTTCTATCTGAACCTAACTGTTTCTGCTGCCTTTCTCTGTCCTTACATTAATATGTACACCCTTTTCCTTTACTCTGTAACTGATGTGTTGTCTTGCCACTGCATGAGGAAACTGTAATGTCCTTAACTAGAAACTGATTTGTGGTCTTTACTAATGAAAAAGAATAAGGGGGTATAAAAGGTTTGATAAGAAATTAATAAGAATTGGAGTTTAATGAATCTGGTTATTTCACTGAACCCAAAACAGAGCCAGCTACTAAAACTGGTCCCTAGTCCTACCTGTCTCTTCATCTGCGGCCTCACTATCTCTGCTCTGCTCCTTTTCCCCTGATGGTCACATTTGTGTGTCATGGATGGAGAACAGAAATGGTCATCTGCAGCGCTATCTGTCTCTGGATCAGTGTTTGCTTACATGATGGACGGCCACTGTTTGATCCCACGTCTTGGAAAAACACTCAAACTGGCTTTAAATCCTCCTTGAACTTATCGGTATGGTGGCTCAGGCTGTTGAGGATTGGGCCTGTAAAGCTGCTGCACTCTAATCGGCCGCCCATTAGCCGGCCAGCCCCCAGGTAACTGTCCAATGACCCTGAGGCCAACCGGCTGGCCATGTCCTGGAAGTGGGGTGCTGGGGTTGAGGATATGGGTCTGTCCCAGTTGGGGCTCAGGTGGGGGAGTGCTACCTTGATGTCCTGGAGCCAAGGTAGGGGGTGAAACGGGGTAATGAGGGAGGAGGATGGCTGGCGTGAGGCCATAGCGTACCTGGAACACTCTAAGAGGTCCCTGTGCTACGAAGCCATTTGGCCGCTGAGGCTGCTCCGAGTCCTTCACCTCCAGGACTTTGCTCTCCTCCACTCTCACGGTTTTGCCTGGCTGCCGCTTAGCTTCAACGAACTCCTGCATCTTCTCTGCTTGAGCCCGGCGGATGTGATAAGTTTTCCTCGAGCTTTGGAAGGAGTCCAAGAACTCATCCAGGTTTATATTTCCCTCCATGAACTTCTCCAGCAGCTCCTGCGAGGCAAAGCAGAAAAACAAACTGACACAGGCAGTCGTTCAAATAGACTTGTCACAGTATAAAGAGGACTTTCTCAGCTCAGGGATGTTTACCCATGGACTGTAAGTACATTTTACACAGCTAACAATGGTCCATGCACAGCAACTGTTACATTTGGCAAAGCTTGAAGCTGTGTGATCTGTCTGTGTGTATTTCCCAGCATGTGAGAAGCCCAGTCTGATCCTGACGCTGATGATAGAAGTTATATTTATGAAGTAATCACTGCGTAAACCACAGTGAGTGTTTTAAAGCCAGCTCTGATTCAGTTCTACATAAGCCTGAGACTAAATAGCAAAGATTCACTCACACTTTGGTCATTAATACATTTCACAAAGGCAAAGAGCCAAACACACACACACACACACACACACACACACAGGGTTTCTAGGATTAAGATCTTGAGATTTTTATTTCCACCTAGAACACAATTTAATATTTTTACAGTCACACTAGTGATGAAAACTGGCAGAAACAATAAAGCCTCTGTGGCTAAACAAATTCATTGACAATTTTATCACATCATGGTTCCATTCAGAGTGAAATGCCTGCCATTGCAGAGAGAGGGGAGACATCATTTAAAAAAAGAGATGAAGGTTCTTATCATCAGATAGTCTCTCCTGAAAGACGTTCATAGTGTTGCACTGTTCAGATGGCAAGTGACAGAAACGGTCATTATGTCAGGAACAAATAAAAGACAGCTAGAGGGAAGTTCAAGTTCTGGCTCCTTCTGCTTATGTCAACTAAATGTAACCTTATTAGTATCCAGTTATTTGTTTTTATTTCACCCACTCCAGACAGTTTCTCACTGTTCACATCTTTGTCACATAAACAAAATGTGGTTTCCTTTATCTAATTAAGAAACTAAGAAAATCCCTGTGTGCAGCAAGATCTCTGCTGGAGAATCCTTCATAATTAGGTCTTATGCACAGTTAATCAGTATTTGTGACAAAAACTACAATACAAAAGGGAACAACATTAAGCCCCTCTTGGCTGCAATCCAGCAGCTTTAACACTTAATCAGCAGACCCTTGAGAAATTGAAGCTACAAACCAATTTGCTGTGTGAGCCCTTAGTTCAGCTCACATCTGCATGAATAAAGTAAAACAATCTCAGTTTGAAGGCTGAAGGGGGATTTGAACTGTTGTGGATGATGTATATGAGCAGTGAGGGCAAGTTTTGTTTCCTTCAACAGACATCTTTGTTCATGTTGGTACCTGATGAGGAATCCTCCTAATAAAGAAAGTTTGCTTGACTTTAGGCAACAGAAGAAGCAGCTGCTGGCCAGTCTTCAAAGACAAGGATTTCCATCTGACATGCAGGCTAAGAAGACTTTCATGGTCAGTGCCACTACAGTACAAATAGAGGAAGCCTGAATAGATGTTTTTCAAACTGGTGTGTGAGATGTCAGTGAGGAACTATCATGAAAATCAAGATGGTTTTCCACTGAACCAATAATGTCCATGTGAGGGCTTAATAAAATGTCTGAGATTGGAGAAGATAGTCACAGAACACAAAGATGTCTTTGTGCTGATTTAGGTCTGCTAAATCACAGAGCTTTTGTTAAACATACATCTACACACATAAAATCATAAAATAAAAATAATGTGAGAACACAAATTAGTGAATATGTCCAGTAATATGTCCAAAAGAAGCTATAAATCAACATGCCTGTATTAAATATTTACTGATATGTCTGAACTAAGGTGATTTGTCAGCATTTATTTGCCAAGGCTGTATGGCTTGCTTTGGGTGTAAATCAATAAGAAGACAGATGCTCTAATGACCGAGTAATGGAAGCACTGTTTGAAGCTATATGGAGGTGGGGGAGGTATGCTACACCGATCAATCTGAGCCTGAAGCAGCAGCGTGAGTTTCATCTGTGAACAAGACTCCCTCACTGCCCTAATTAAAGCCAGAGGAATATGTTGGATTTAAACAAGATCGCTTGCTAATGCCTCACGTTCCCAGAGGCGAATGTTATGAATTACTGTAGGACTGCAGCTGAAGCTTTTGGAGCGTATAGTGCACAAGACAGACAAATGATCATGTGCGCTGACACATGAATGCACACTGATTCAGATCAACCTGCCAGTGAGGTCGGCCATGGCAGCAGATACAATGTAGATTTTACGCTGGGTCAAGCCACTGACAGAGGTCCAGAGGCCAAGCTGATTCATGACGACACAGCCTGACACCCACTGTGGTGTGATGGTTAAAAACAGCATGTAACTAGAATACTGGGCTTTCACAGGAATGCTCACCCAACTTCTGCCACATTAAACTGTGTATTGATAACTAATTACTCCAACAAAGACATTGTATAGGTCTATTTTTATACCAGGCAATGGAATATGCCAAACACTGATAGTATAGAAATCAAATAGGAAAGCTTAGGATTTATTCATTAAAATTCTACCTGAAAAAAAAAAAAAAACTATTCCATTTAAAATGAACGGTACATGTGATTTTGAAATTGATACATTTTTTTTTTTTTTTTTTTACTACAAAATGACAGTAAGTGTCTTTGTAAAAACAGCTTCTTTAGCCTCCAATCCTCTGACTGGGCAGGATATGGTGGACTGACAGCTGAACTGTCACTGAGGCACAATGTAAACCCCTGCTGCCGTGAATAAACTGACCCATGTTGACACTTGCAGGTAATTTTTAAAGCTGTTTAATATCTTAAAGATTATAACTTTAATTATATTGTACAAAAACAGGAGCTGGCTGATGCAGACATTGCATGTACCTTGTCGCCATGTAATGACATAATCTGGACAATCTGAACAAATGATGCCAGGAATTTTGAAGCAGAAACATATTAGCATCAGAACAAGTAGCTACACAATTTATAAAGAAGATATCAAACCCCACCTATAATCCACCATGAGCTGACAGATCAGGTGATTACAACTGATGCTCCCAAAGACATAAGCAATGTCTCTTAAGATATTTGACCAAAAAAAAAAAAAAAAAACAGTAAATACAGATGTTATCTTTATCCAGTCTCTACAGCAGACATTGAGCAAGGTCCACTGGTTACTATTAATCATAAATGAGACAAAATAGGATTCAAAAGCAGCTGTGTGTGCTGTCTGTGTCATGTCAGTACATGTATGTCAGACAATCAGCGCAGTTCTGTGATGAAGGAGCACAATTCAAGCCTACAGGCAAGTGTTGGTGAGTGCAAACATGCTTCTGTACTGATCTGTTTGTTCTGTTACTGTGAAGTAAAGCTGCAATGATGATCTCATTATGTTGATCCTTTCACGCCTTGGTTTATTAGACATCTGTAAATGCGGAAATTATTTTGTTTTAGGCTGCACATTTCCCATCAAGTAAATTTTTTTTAAATAATGTTAATAGAGATATACAGTATTTTATACCAAAACTGTGAAAACGTGAGCAGCCCCAACAAAATGTTCACTTGGCCTACACAGAGACAAACATCACAAACCTCTAGTATCTTCATGGATGGATGGCAATGAGGTTTTGTTGAGATTTGGCACACTATTGTAAAAGCCAAGCAGGCAAATGAATATTTAATCTAAGCTGCTCATTTGAGCATGTCATGTGTTTCGGCCTGGTGATTTTCACGTTGGAACGTATTCCCATAGACATTTTCCTTTATTCATAATGTCGCATATTAAATTCAACAAGTGAGACACAGCATACAGTGTATATCGGGTTAATATGTTACGCTAAGCTAAACTAACCAGAGTAGACCCTCTGGTTAGGGAATGACCTGCTCTACCTCCTTAGCTGCAGCAACCCAATATTATAATAAAATGTCAGACCATTCCTTTAAAACTAAGTGATGTCTGTTTGACCCCTCGTCATTTGCTGCATTGGGTCCTTGGCAGGAGAAGTGCTGCAGCAGCAGAAGCCACACAACAAAATATTATTGATCATCCTTTATCATTCATGAATATCAAGTATGGAAATAGCTGTTTTGTATGTGGTAACAGTGTGCACTTAGCATTCATAATCTTTAGGTAAATGTTACACTGCTACAAGTCACAGAAAACAATGTAACAACAGCAGGCCCCTTCGTTGTGAGTACCCTCCCACAACTGCTACATTTTACAGTTGTTTTGTTGATGTTGGTATTTTGCCAACTTGGAAGAGACCCTCCGTGGAACTGGCTGATCCCATCTCTAACAGTATGTTTAGGGATTTCTTTAGAGACAGCTATGGTGGAAGTATATGTAGTTTCTCTCACGTTGCCTGCACTGCTCCCTGTACATACTGCACAAAAGTAGGTGGGCCATCATGTCAGCTGAATGCAGCCTTTTCAGGAATCATCCACATAAGAACTGCCAACACAATGAAAGACTGATTCTCAGCAAGAAGAAGAGGCAAAAGCTCCAGTTTAGCAGCTTTTTGTCAGTCTTTTACCTCTGAATGCTCCTCAGCATGTGCCACCTCTTCCTGCAGGAGGTTCTGCGCCCTCTGCAGGCTGTGCCTCTGGACATGAGCATCTGCAACGACAAGGAAATATCACTGATGCATGCAGAGGGAAGAAGATGAGGAATGACTTCACTAGAGTTGGAAGAAAAGTGCAGTAACCAAGAAACCCCAGCAGAGAAAATAATTTTCCGAATCACACAGAGCCTTCTGGGCACATGCTGACGAGATGATGATGATGCAGGAAACAGTTGCGGGCTAGGAAAAAAAATATGGGAAAACTGGCTTTTAATATTCAACTTTGAGCTATTTTGAGAAGCTGTTTTGACCACAAAACTCACATCCCTTTCATTTTTGCCATTTCCTAATATTAATTTCTCAGATTCAAAATTCAAGGAAAAGGTGGGGCTGGCAACTGTCAAAGAATCAAATTTTAGTCTGCTACAAAAGATTCAGACCACCTCATATTGACATGATATCAGGAATGAGCAAGCTGCTGCAGCATTATGTCTGGTAAGAAATAGTTTTGTCATTGTGAGGCATGAGGTCACCAAACTAACACTGAACACCCCCAATTTTTCTTTAAAGGATCATTCCAGTTGTTTTTAACAGCTCTGGTTTTATTTTTATAGTTATGGCCATCTTTTCTATCAGTTATATGATGAATTTTACCTCAGTATGATTTATACTGATAACGTCAGACATTTCCAATGCACCACCTGTAACTGTACTGACATATGTATTTACCATTGCATCATTTGGGCAGAACAAGTATTAATACTATATGTTAACAGCTCATTATCTGTCTTCTACCGACAAGCCATGACATTAGTTGTCTGTTTGACCTGTTGGTCAGACAAAACAAAGACGTCTGAATACGTAATTCTGAAATGGATTTCACTACATTTTCTTCATGTTTCTCTTTGTCCCTTATTGCATCCAGCAGCTCTTGTCTCCTCATCCCCTCCTCCACTCTCTGGAAAATAAAAAAGCTTTCATTCTAGAAACTTGGCAATAAATGAAGTTAAATATCGCGTTAATTATAGCAGCTGTGAATTGACAAAATGATGTCCCTGGATAGGTTATGAACTCTGCAATAACGCTAAGCTTTACTTTCAAGCTCAATTAATGGGCTGATAGCTAGTGAATTATTCAGGGTTCCCACTGTTTTTCCAGGACATTTTCAATGACATAAGGCTGTTATGTCAGGCCCAAGACTAACAGCTTCCTCTCTGTGGAAATCTCCTTTAAAACATATGTTAGAGGGTGACAGTAAACAGCAGCTGTTATAGAACATTTGGCTACAAGACTAACTGGAATCTCTTTTTCTCCTGAATCACATTGACCACTGTTACCATTGTCATAGTTATTTTTTTGTATTTAAAAAAAGAAAAGAGCAACAAGCACAATAAGAGGTGCAAAATGTTTCCCAAATATATTTTATAATCTGAGTTATGGGTGAATGGCACTTATGTGCACTTAAACTTCACTACAAGCCTGCTTGTCTGCCCCAGCTTGCCTGTGTCTGCTTCAGTAGCTATTTCATTAAAATGTTCCAACACCTACTGAGGAAATGTGGCATATAAACTTAGCAAACGAGCCACTTGTAATGTGAACACAGATGCACGATGGACATACCTCTGTTATATTTGGCACCACTGAATCAACACTTTGATGCTTTAAATAGGACTGTACCTGGGCCAAAAATATCTTGGTGACATGATCTGATGCCCCACACAACAGCACACAACAAGAGACTGTTACAGACGCGTTCTTACTGGAAATACTGCTTTGTTATTGTTCTCAGGGCAATAATCTGCTCAATTCACACAAGGGCTCAACTGGACATTACACAGACTTGGTAGGGACCCGGCAGAATAAGGTCCATTTAATGCCATCTCCTCCAGATCATATCTATACAAGTTCAGGTTGCAGTGCATGTCTGAAAATAGCTAAAGAGAGGCACAATGTCTGCAAAGAGAGAGAAACCACCTACAGTGAGATGCCACTGCCAAAGGTCCACAAAAAAAACAAAAAAAAAAAACAACTCTTATCTAGTGCATTATACGTATAGTACATGTCTGGTATAGAAATACCATAGTGTCCATTCATATTGGTCGTGTCATGTTCAATAGTCAATAGAAAAAAAATTACATTACTTACATAACAGATACTCAAGCAGATAACTGAACCAGAAAGTGCAGTCTGGAAATCGGCTTAATGCAAAACAGAGGTTTGAAGACAGAGAAGTCATGTACATCATGAAGTGGACTGATACGTGACTAATCAGCAGAAATGTCAGTAAAGTATCAATGCAGCATGGCTTTTCTCATATCTCAGTGTCCATTGTTGTCTTTAAGCACAACACATTGCCACATTTCATGCCTGACCAAACTACCCCCCACCCCCATTAAAGAAATGCAGTAACATGCTGGGCAAATGATCTGCCTGCGACTGTACACAAATAAATCAGGGTATCACAGACGAGGCCTTTCTGGGGCATGGATGTATCTGAGACTTGAAAATTAGCCAAGGAGTCAGCCATGGATTATACCCCTGCAGCACTACAGTCTCTCTACAGTGCCCTCTCTAACATGACATCAGAGCCTATTACTGTATATCCAGGGGTTAAACTCAGGTGGAGCTCAGCACTGGTGGGCTCCTGACATTCAAAAGGCACCCTGGTGAAGCTCAGTTTCATATCCTTCAGTATATCCTATTGTTGCTACCCTTCACACTTTTCCCCATATAT